CTTAAAAATGGGTCCCAAAGACCCACAATAGAAAAAAGGTTCTACCACAAATTTTCCCATACAGAAGGTTGTGAGTTTGATTCCCAGTGTCGCCAGATCAAGACAGGATCTTGTCCCAAATTCTGGAGAGCCAGGGAGGGGTGTAGACGAAGCAAGTATGTTTTATTTTCTCCACCCAGAACAGGAAATATGAACAAATAAGTCTCAATAAATTTTTTTAATGATTAGAACTACAGTGAAGGGCTTTCCAGAAGTTAAGGAGTCATAATGAGTTACTTCTCAAATGCTGTGAACGAGTCATGGGAAGCCATGGCATTCGAAGAATAGTTTTTTAAGCTAGAAGAGGAATGCAGATGTCTGCAGAGGGCAGTCTGAATTCGGAATGTATTGTTTCTGATCCCTGGGTTCTGTGTTTGAATCCTGGGCGGCCAAAACTCTTTTCTGTGTCCAGAGGATGACAGCGGGGCTGTCGTGGTTCAGACGGCCCCCGGGAAGGTCGTCACCCACCGCGGCGGCACCATCATCCTTCCCTGCCGGTTCCATTACGACATTTCGGCCCATGACGCGGATGAGATTCGCCTGAAATGGACCAAAGTGGTGGACCCCATGTCCTTCGAGGACGTCTTTGTCGCCATGGGTCAAGAGCGCCGGGCCTTTGGGAACTACCGAGGCCGGACGGCGTTGCAAGAGGACGGCGCCGGAGACGCATCGCTCGTCATTCGGAATGTCACCTTGCAGGATTATGGGCGCTACGAGGGCGAGGTGACGAACGAGGTGGAAGATGATGCGGGCATGGTGAAACTGGACTTGGAAGGTGAGTGGCGTGGCTGATTTTGTTGCTGTGCACAAGACCAAGAAATTGTGCAAAACTGCTCTCTCGGTGGCCTTGCTTCTTACACTGATGAAAAAATACATATACTAGCAGCTCCGGATGGGTTGCTCTAGTCTTTTTGAAGAATCAAGCTTTTTTGGGGGGGGGGCTTTTCTCTATGTGCACTTGACTTCTGAGCCAGAAAGGACACTAGTTTTCCACAAAGGCATTTTGCTCAGAATTCTTGAGACGTTTAGGGGGATTAAAAAGGAGAAATTGGGCTGCCTTAAGAGGGTTAATATTCAAGAGAACTCGGAATTTAGCTAGCATTCTTAATACCCTTTGACGTAGAACGGCAGAAAAAAATATATGATGCACAGAGACAAGAGTGTGTGAAGAGTAGGAGCCGGTTTGAAAACAAGCGACCCATGAGACGGGGCAGCATGTCCCATCATCCCCTACTAGCAGAGCCAA